AGTCTCGTCTTCCTTTTGCCTCGACGCAGGATTGAAACAGGTTCAGAGAGGCCCATATCGCTGAGACTGCAACTGCCAATACTCTTTGGTAACTTGCAACAGCGTAGATTTGTCAACTGCGATTTGCCTGCCATGTGCCTCATGTTCATCGATTGCATTAATAGCTCTACTAGGAGCTGCTTGTCTTGGTTCAGAAAAAAAAAAAATCAAAACCCAGCGAATAGAACGCAGAGCACAGACAATCAGCAACAGAAGAACTTGTACAGTAGAGACTTCCCCATGCTTCTCCAATTGGTGTTTTCCACTCACATCCCAGCGAAGAGCAATCACTTGTGCTTCTCCTGATGAGATCACCGTGTTTTATCCGTACTTTTTCTGTACACACTTCTTTGGGGTTTCTCTCTCCCCTGCACCTCAGCACAACCGCTACACAGCTGCCTCCATACACTTCACACCAACAATCCCCTCAATGTCTGTTGCACCACTCCAAGAGGCACATCAGGTGGCCAGCATGCCCTGAACCCGTGTCAGCGTCGTTTCACTCACTCGTCAGCAGCACATGCTGAGGCAATGACTGCGGGGACCACGCCACCACACTGTCGCCTGGATGGTGATTCGTACTGTTTTACTTGAGAAGAGGCCAAGCCCTCAACAAGGCATGCACACACCTCCTTCCTCACTCCCCCTGAAACCCAGACTCAAGTATTGTTACCGCCAGTCTCCATAAATGACACACAAACACGAGAGGAAATCCCACCTTCACTTTGCTCCTCAAACACATTGTGAGCACCACAAGTGTATACAGGAAGAAACCAAAAAGAACACCCGTCAACAACTCGATTTAGTGTCGACTTATGCAAGATGGGCTCTTTGATCGTTTCCTTCACAGAGGCCATGTGCAGGTAAAGGACATGTCGAAGCAGCGATAATTCAACACACTTTCCCACTCAACTAGACTTGTTTCCCTCCGGACGAATTCAAAAGACAACAGCACACACAGACTCACATATCTTAATGACCATGCAAAGGCATCACACCTCACACAGCGTCATGTGTTTCCACCAACATCAAGATGATTCTGAAAGTTATGTCCTTCCGTTTGCATAAAGCAGAACCCCCCCCCAAGCAACCATAAATTGAGCATTGGATCCCTGCGACTCCGCACATTAGGAAACACCGAGGGCAACTCACAACACAGCATTTCCCCCGCCAAACAAATGCCTCACGCACCTGCTCACAATCCCTTTTTTACTGCGTCATTTCTCACAATCTCAAAGAGCATCGACACAACAAAGAGTCACCCAGCAACCCCAACAACCCTTTCACCCTCTCGTCGGTGCTGTTCGCATCACGTCAGTGGTGCACCATCAGCCAATGATGCCCAACAGTCGTCATGTCGGACACGCAGACAGCAATAGCCATCCAGTGTTGTTTTGGGGGGTTGATATAC